CGTATGTATGGCTTCAGAAATCTCCTCATACATAGCCTCTACCTCATCGTCGGAGTGTGAAGAGGTCGGGGCGTAAACCTGTATGACCTTCAGCGAATACCTTTCGGTAATTCTAAGTATAAGGTACGCCACTCTGCTCGACACACTATCGATCTTCACCACGTTGTTCACGAGGGACTTGTGAACGAGAAACCCAACACCACCTTGAGATTTTTGATCTCCTTCCCGGAAGAAGAGCATGTTACCGGACTCAAGGATTACCGTATCCTGGCCCTCTCTTCGGATTTCGGATAATCCCACTATGTCCCATCGCAACTTGCTCAATTCTTCCTCCAGTTCTAATAGCTTCACGTCAGTCCTCATTGTGCGGACATTGTATGTTGCCAGGGCCAGATCCGTTTGTGTTGGTAGCGCCTAATCTGCCGGAGATTCTTAGCACCCCCTGCCCCTCCGTTACCTGTCCCGCTACCAGAGACAGGAATAGAGGGGCTGCCGGGGACTGGGGGCCGTACATCATTGTCGTCCATCATGAGGGGGGGGGGGGGGTTACCATAATCCCCACGCTTGGCAGGCGACTTGGGGATCGCAGTAGGTGGTGGTAGATGATACCGGGAGGCGCTGCTGCCCGCCTTCCGTATAATCCCTCTGTCGGCTCCTACGACACCCACGAGAGGATATGGGGGGGAGCTACTCTTAGGCCGGCACCCCACGTCTCATATTCATTAGTGGGAAGTAAAACAAAACAGTTATTATTTCTGTATATCAAAGTCAATATTATTGGAATTACGTTACTGTATTTTATTTGCCAAATTCTGGCCAAACTCTGTGAAATATTGATCAACCGTAATAATTGATTTATGTTATGTATCATTATTAATATAAAGTAATTCTCAGGTGGGATTATTGTCTTCGTATGTCTATAATAATATCCTTTATAGTTTTCCAAAGAAGTAAATTGTTACTACCAGCCGTGCTCAATTGTTCTCTTTCATAATTCAACCTAGCTTTTTTTAGTATGTCACCACAGAATTTTCTCTTATAGGTTACTTCAAGTACATTACTATCTGGAGACTTTCTGACTAATTGATGGAGACTGTCTCTTCAATGAGATCTTGCGTCCAGATTTTTTTTTAATTTTGGTATTTGATTGAAGAGTGTCTTTAATGGTTGTAACAAGTAGGGGAAGATTGGGACCATTCGTACACTTTTTAGTCAATGATTTTTAAAATATTGATTATCAAAGATAACTCAATTACTTATTAAAACATAAAGCATACTTTCTGCTCTTTATTTAAAAAGTTCAAAGTCGATATCTTGTATAATATATCAAAGGATTGAATTTTACTAAAAGCTAATGAAATTTCCGAATCTACCCCTATTAAGGGGTACAATCGTACATGGGCCGGGGAGCATTCAGACAGTGTGGTAACTTCATATATGTACATTAAGTAAAACAACAAATAAATTAAAAAATCGTTTTCATTGATCTTAAACTTATCAACGATGTAATAAACTAAACGATATATAGGCTTAGAGTCTAACTATCTTTTTACGAAAACCGTGCATCCATTCTATATCAGCGAAGCCAGTTTCATAACAATTTTGCAAACATTTATATTTCAAAACTTTATCATAATTAGTTGATAGTGCTGTGACTTCCAATATCGTGAGTCCGAAATGTGTTTATGAACTTTTTCAATTGGTTAGTCTTTTCAGTAAAACAATTTGTTTTTTACTATTTAAAAACACCTTTTATAGACGCAAAAAACTCATTTAATTATATTGGGAACGTGTCTGCCTTTTCTTCTTAAATTCCGATATTTTTTTCTAAATATACTGATATAATAATAAAAATTGTTAGCGGGGGTACATACATACGCGTACGAATCTGCCCTTTCTGGAAATGTACGTACGTGCCCCGAAGATCAATAATAAAATTATTTTTTCTAACACAAAACCCACGTAGAAAAATACAAAATATAGATATATATTATTATCTTAATCGTATTCACATACGATTAAGCAATAATTCAATAAAATTCGACGTATCATTAAAGCACGGAAGATATAAAAACATTAACAAAATATTTACTATGAGCATACCAAAACACTTTAAGTTCTCTAGTTTCGCTCGCAGTGGCTGCATGTGTGGCTAACTTCGTGGACAACTGGCAGTCGCTGGCGCCTATCCACTAACACAAAGTCGTAATAAATAGGCTTTTCTACAAAATGTAGTAGTGACTGTATGAAGGTTCCCCGTGTACGAATGGTGCCAAACTTCCGCTATGCTCAAAAAAAAAAATGCCTTAAAAAATATTATATTAATATTATATTTTTTTTGGGTCATATTATTGCAATATAGTTTATTTAGTATAGATGTAACGGTTTTATGGTCAGTTATTGTAGACTCAACTACAAGAGAGAAAATAGGCAATTTGGTCTTAACAAAGAAATTACCAAAGCAACTTGTATTTCGCGTTGGTGAAGTGAGTATTATAATCTTTTGTCTGCCCCATATTTTCTCCAAATCCGTTCAGTCATTTTAGCCCGATTGTGCTTAATTAACTAAAATATAATTATTAACTAAAATATTATGTTTAACAAAAATATAAAAAAATATATATTTCAATTTAATTTACGAAGTATGTTTTAGTTTTGACATTGGTTTTTTTGTTAAGAATCCTCATTTAAATATTATGTTTGAATGAATAGCGATCTTCATAAGAAAATCTCTGCGGTCTTGAATTAGAATAGGTGCGGGCAGAGTTAGACAATATTGTTGACCTATTTATCGTTTAGAATACAATACATGTTATTGTTTAATAATTAATTTAGTATTTTAAAAGCATGTAACAAAGAAAAAAAAATGTTGCATTAAATATTAATTAGGCGTTTGCATAAGATGTGTCATTATGTTACTTTATACAATAAATACTGGTTTCATAATCTAGAATAATTGACTACCAATTAATGGAATGTTATAAGGAAGTTGTCGTACAAACCAATTACTTAGATCTCTAAGATTTATTTTATATTGCACATAAGACATTATGAATGCAAAATTGATCTAAATAAATAAAATAATAAGATGAAATTATTAACGCACGTAAAAAACATACAAAAATATATACGAATTATCTTTAATATAAATTTTGCTCCATTTTGAGTTTTAGAAGCAGTAACTTTTAATTATTGTAATACCTTACACAAATATGTTTTTTTCTAAAAAAAAAAATTGGATAAAAAAATTGAAACGACTTTAAATAAAAATAGAAGATAAAAATATTAACTGACTTTAAATAAAAAAAAGATAAATAATATTTATTTTAAGAGCGGTTAAATTTTCCAAGAAACGTTAAAGTCGGGCTGAGACATTGAGGTATAAAAAGGCTTGAATAAAATCTTAATAATTCGCCATTGGAAAAATCGCAATATCGAAAACGAAAGCTACTTTGTTTGATAAAATCGGAAAAAATAAAGACTACTAACATAACAAAAATCCCGTTTTAAAATAAACATAGACAGCTAAATGTAACATTTTCGTGTACTTAACCAAAAACCATTTAGGCCGGTTTTAATAGACTAATATGTATGGGCTCAATGGAAGCGGTCTATAGATTCCCGTAACAGAAATACTTTTATAACCATATTAATAGTTTCAGAGCCAATCCAATGCAAGCAAACAAGCAATCAAATCTTAACTCTTTATAATATGAGTATAAAATTTTTGGAAAAAAATATGTCGAGCAAATAAACAAAATTTCCTTTCCTAAGACTTTATATTATATATATATATTTTTTAGTATTACCTATTATGTAAAAAAATATCATTGGCAATAAAAAGCATGTTATTTTTTTTTATTATTGAACAGGTTTTTAAATTTGAAAAAAGTGATAAATAATAGTTACCTCAAAAGCGATTTCTTCAAGATAATGCAATCCAAGTTAAGCGCCTATCGTTTAATTAATAACCTAAAGCAAACCTTCGTCCGACTTCAATAGCATTTTAAAGTTAGAAGTCGGTTCTACTTTTTGAAAAAAAAAAGATAAACATTATCAACAATCTTCGTAAAGACTTATCAAACTTCTCTGGCTATCTATTCGCCGGGGCAAGGAAAGATATAAGTACATAAATACTTAATTTTTTTTAATTATACTTTTTCTGCCCACGAGGGCCGATAATTGAGAAAAGGAAAAACTTCCTCCTTATCTCAAGCAACAAAGATCTTTTTTTCACCACAATGTACCTTACCATCTTCTCCCATTCTTACTCTGGATTTTCCTCATCATACTACTGACTTTCTCGTATTTATTTTCTGTCCTTAAAGATTCCGTCTGATAAGTTCTTTTGTCGATCGAGTTCAAATCTATTTCCTTTCCTTAAAACTATCTTCTTATATGTTAATATTTCATATATTTAGATATATATCTTATATATAAAATTAATAATCATCATCAGCCCTGTTACGTCTCCTCTACAGAGACTCAGGCGTTTTCTTATGAATGGTTAAGGAGGGTGGGCCATAACCCTCGACACTAGTCCAATGCGGATTGGAGGGTATTATCGACTGCAAATACAGCCGGAACCAATGGCTTAACATGCCTTCCGAAGCACGGAGTAGCTCAAGATAGTAATTTTTTGTCACCCATCCCGTGACTAACCTGCGGTCCTTATCCACAACGTTACCGAGCTACTCTATCATATTTATCTGTACCATAAATTGAACAAATAAAAAATTAAGAATTAATGAAATAAACACATATTTTCCTAAAAATTTTACTATATTGATAAAATTTACTTCCTTTTTAATATAACGAGGAAAACTATTATTAATTTATTGAACTACCTATCTGTTATTTAAGATTTTTTATCATCTTTTGATAACGATAAGCGATCATTGCACGCTGCCATCAGGCCGCATGGCTCTGGGGAACCAGTTTATCTATAAAAGACAGGCCAAGTATTTCTCTGCGACAGCAAGTATCGGGGATAAATAGTCACTAACTAACAGTAGCATACGCGGACTGGTAGGCGACGCTCGTGTTTTGTTCGATATTTATAAATATTTAACGACAATGCCTAAAATATACAATTTCGGTGCAGGTCCAGCCAAGTTGCCAGAAGAAGTAAGTTTATTTCTACACTAAAAGTTCGACAGTGTTTTAGACTTAAAATTTTTGTTTATTCATAACACTTAGCCGGCCGGTTCATTTAATGAATTTAACCTTCTTATCATTGTTAGAATATGCTTAATGTAGGTTAACATGTTGATTATAGGTTTATGAAATAATAAGAAATGAATTGACCGATTATGAAGGTACGGGAATCAGTTTATTGGAAACGAGTCATCGTTCTCAGACTTATATGAAACTTAATACGGAGGTGCAAGAAGTTGTAAGGAGACTGTTGTAAGTTATTTTAAAATTTTGAACTATGATCTTTTCAGTAATGTACGTAATACTTGTATGGAGGCTGAATATCATAATATACTTCCTAATATAGGCAAGATCTTATTTTACTCAAGTTTATGTAGAAAAATAATTATTATTCGACAATTTAAAATGGCGCGACGAAAGTCGATATTAAAATGATATATCACTTTCATGCTATAATACTTAAGAAATTATCTTTTTCTATTATAATTTTATTCATAACTTTGTCTTATGTCATTGAAAGAACTTAAAAAAAAATAGTTGAACACTAAAAATTTATATTGTGAAAGTCAAGCTGATAATTTTATTACATACAATTTTAATTATCTTATTTTACTTATTCAATGTTTATTTTTGTTTTAAGGAACGTCCCAGCAAATTACAAGGTATTGTTTTTACCAGCCGGAGGCCAGGGGGAATTTGCAGCTGTCCCACTTAATTTAATGTCAAGAACTGGTACAGCTGACTATGTTGTTACAGGTAATATACATCATGTCCGTTTATAATTTCTTGATATATGCAAGAATAAATAAATATTCTTTCCTATCGAGTTGTAAACAAACATATATTTAACAGAGCCACTATCAAGTTTATTATTTTACCTACATTTTGTTATATTATACGCGCACTTTAAAAATAATACATTTTCTAGGCTATGTTGAATTGTTTTGTAAATTTTACCTGTTCATCTTACTTATACCATGAACTCCTTAAGAATAAAATCGCATATCACATTTAATGATCGTAAATCGCGTTATCTCGTGTGTTCATAAGTTTCGAGACAAACATTTTACTGAAAAAATAACATAAAATGTTCTGGCTGTTATTTTTTTACCGATTTTGAATTTGGAATGCTAACTATTTGTATCGTAAATTCATTTGTTTATATTTGCTCGTAATGGAGGGAACGAAATAATTACGTGCAACTGTCATTTCGCTATTTAAGGCGGAAAAAAAACCGATGCAGATTTTCCGCGAGCTGAAAAGTATTGCTGTTAGCAGTAACTTCGTCTAGATTAGTTTCATGCCGCCATTGATGACTGGCCAAATCGTCCAAGGGCCTGTATTGAAAACAAGGGCGGTCATTTTGAATAAAATATGTGTTTTATTGTTTATTATTATCTATTTAATGGTTACGAGGAAATTTTAGAAATATACGTTAATTATTAAAAAAGTTACGTAACTTTTATTTCGGTTCAAAACTTATGAACACACGAGGTAATGTCGTATTCGCATTTTTCCTATTTTTGAGATCTCATTCGACTACCGATTCCCGAGTTCCTGCAAATTCATGAATTTCTTTTTTATAGGCGCTTGGTCAGAAAAAGCAGCCAAGGAAGCTAAGAAATACGGCAAAGTTAATTTAGTGGTACCACCAACCAATCGCTACACAGGCGTACCCGACCAGTCCACCTGGAATTTGGATCCCAATGCCTCTTACGTTCATATATGTACCAACGAAACTATCCACGGTAGGTAAAAACATATGCAACATGAAACAAGTAATAGCGACTCGACAGCTTCATTTATAGTGACATTTTTGTATAACATTATTTTGAGTAATTTTTTTATTTTTATTTACAGGTGTCGAATTCAATTTCATACCGGACACAAAAGGAGTACCCCTTGTTGCTGATATGTCCTCGAATTTTATGTCCAGGAAAGTCGACGTGTCAAAGGTTAGCTCTAAAGATATCATTATTAATGATTGAACAGTAATTTAGTAAATAATACTGATAAAATTATAATAAAAACATAACTGTCATAGTAAAATGTATGGGTCTAAACTTTAATAAACTTTATTTATCTAACTAGTCGTTTTTCCGCGACATCACCCGTGTAAATTATAGCCTTGCCATCCTCGTATCATCTAGCTTCTCGTAGGTGACAGAATTTTTAAAATCCGTCAGTTTTGCAGCCTATGCAATGTAAACAAACAAAAAATAACACCCAGAGTGAGGTTTCTTCACTTGATGAAACTTAAATGTAATGAAAAATTAATAGTTGAATGTTTATTTCCATTAAAATTTACTTTAAATTTCTGCGCATATTTATTTCTTTTTATTACTTTTTTTGAAATTATTGGATCTTTAACAGACTATATATTTACACAAAGTTGAGGAACGATTCCCAAATTTCGTCTTTTGTTTCAGTTTGGGGTAATCTATGGTGGTGCACAGAAAAACATCGGGACATCTGGTGTGGCTCTAGTGATAGTCAGAGAGGACCTACTTAACCAAGCCATGCCAATCTGCCCGTCCATTTTGGATTGGACACAGACCGCGAAAAATGACTCAATACTAAATACGCCGCCAATGTTTGCGTAAGTTGTTTTCTATATTTTTTTTTTCATTGAAATCCTAAAAAATATATAAGTTTCTAATGCTGTCCACAATTCTGATTCCATAAGACTATAAATAGATATATAGTATTAAGAGCTAATTTTTGACACCACTATACCAGATATTTGCAATAACCAAATACATTGTATTCGTACATAATTCGATTATTTTTTTCATAATAAGACAATGAAAATTGATTTTGTTGATTTATCAAGGTAAATCCTCACAAATTATAAATAACTCAAGAAATCGATAGTTCAAATTGTCAAGACTATTAACTCACATTACACTAACATCAAAAATAATTAGAGGTATAACATATTTGTTATTTAAATCAATTGCGTAATACTGACGCATGTTTTAGATGGAGGATGAAAAGCGGAAAACTCATTTTTTAAAATGATGCTTTAATATACTTTAGATTAATTTTTTTTTAACTGAATATCAAACAAGTTGTCTTCAAAATATGTAATTTGTTTTTTTTTTTCTAATAGAACTATAGTATAACAGAAAAATAATTTAGAATAAATAATTTAGACCTTACGCCAACGTCTGAGCCACATATTTTGACTTAAGAGTTTGTAAACTCTAGGGCTACAAGACTTACTTGTATAGTCAGGGCGTTAAAAGTTAGAAGTTTGACTCTGATAATTTTTTGACAGTACTAGCCACAGAACACGGAAAAGAGGGTGCATATAAACGTTTCTAGCGGGGTTGTATTTTCTGCATCAAAGACTTATAATTTCAGCATCTATATTATGGGGCGTGTGCTTCAATGGATCGAGAGGAAAGGAGGTCTCGATGCGATGGCTGAAGCGGCAGAAAAGAAATCATCTCTAATTTATAACATTATAGAGGGATCCAATGGTTTCTACTACGCACCGGTGGCGAAGAATTCGAGAAGTAGAATGAATATTCCGTTCAGAATCGGATCGTCTGGAGGAAACGAAACGCTAGAGAAAGAGTTTTTGAAAGGTGCAGAAGCGATGGGTCTCATTCAACTAAAAGGTCACAGGTATGAATAAATAATGTTTATGTGTATATTGGCTTTAAAAAAAAATTATTATCATCTTAGACATCAGGGTGGACTTTGTGTAAGTGAATACAAAACTAGCAAAAAAATTGTTTATGTAATTGTTACAAATATAACGTATTCGTAATCCACTTTAAATAATGATTTGCGTTTATTCAATGTGAATTTATCCTTACAGATCTGTTGGTGGTATCCGAGCGTCCACATATAACGCGGTAACTTTAGAAGAAGTTCAAAAACTAGCTCAATATATGAAGGATTTTTATGCTAAGCACAAAGACCTTATATAAGAGATAAATAATTTTAGATTAAGGTCTATATCCAACATTCAAGCGAAACGAGACGCTATTATACCCAGTGTTATATAATGTGAGCATTTGTGCCATACGGGCATGAAAAAAATGTCCAAGTGTTTTAAATAACAAAAAAAAAAAATAGTTTAAATAAATATAAGTGGTAAACAACAAAACCACATAAATATTTTCTTTCCCTGTTTAAGTAACTTCACACTTCGAACATTTTGATGCAATAAAATGTAACAACTTTATATAGCCAAATATTTGGTATTTATTTTGTAAAAAAACAGTTCATAGTCTTGTTTCAGTATGAGGTTACTGCCAAAACATGTTAAATACCCAATTCATTTCTAGTTCAGTATGATTTCTAAATATTGGAGTAAGCATGTAGTTGTATTCCAAAATTTACAAATTAAGTTTTTGTATAAGCGCAGATATTAAACTTTTTGTTATTACAGTAGTTTATAATATTCCATTTACAAATTAAGTTTTTGTATAAGCGCAGATATTAAACTTTTTGTTATTACAGAAAAGTTTTAAATTTATAATCATATCTATTTATTAACATTTTAGGAATTTTTATTATATTCTGCAACTGAGAGTTCTCATTTATATTTTTGTATTCAGTATATTTTTTATAATTATAAGTACACGTATTTCTAAGTGGCTTTTATAATTGGCTGTGTCTACTAAAACTGTTTATTCGAATAAATTTGTGATAAAACATAGGTATTTTTTTCAAAATTATCTTATCTCTACTTTATTTGTATAGCAACATATTAGATAAAATGCCGAAATATTATTTTAAGCAGGTATTATCAATAAACTTAGGTATAATATCTGTAATTATAAAGTTTATTAATAATAAACACTAGTCATATTAATCGAATCTCAATGGCCGATTGTGATGGAAATTTTGCAATAAATACTTTCTCTTTTTCTTAAGCAAGAAATTTGATTTGATTAATTATTTAAATAATGGTTCATTCTTAAGAAGGCGCGTTTATCCGACATCACAAAATTTCAAGTGGATTTGAACAAAGAAATAACGTACAAAAGCTTTAATCAGAAACGAAAGAATCGCATCATATTTTTTAAGATTTTTTCATATCTACTAAAGGAGAGATTTAATTGTTTGTTTGTTTACATCGAAAATACTCCAAAACTACAAGACCGATTTAAATAAAAAAGAATATTTCATCTACAGGAACGCTTGATGTAGCTATGCGGTTGGAAAAGGCTGTAATATACGCGGGTGAAGTCGCGGGAACATAGCTAGTTAGTTAATAAAGCGACAGTAAATAGAGTATCATGTGCAGTTAAAAATGTAATTTTTCAAAGCAGATTCTTTTTCATTCTAATTCGAAACGAATATAGTTTTCCTATTCATTAATATACTCGTTATGTGTAGATAGTGTATTGCAAATACATAGTTACTGAGCACGAACTAATTATAGAGAGATTTCAAAGAAAACCAAAATTTACTTAATACTACTCCAACAATGGGACCGTGTGCAACGATGTTATATGTCAGCAGATTCCTTTAGTGTGTGTGACCCGACTATAACAAACTAGGCTATCTGATGTTTATCTATTAGGTACTTGCAATAATTGTTTTGAAATGGTTTCATTGGTATATTGATTAGACTAAGTTATATATTTTTTACTAAAATACGAGCAAAAATATTTATAGTCTAATAAACATATCAAACTTTAGAGAGAAATAAATGTTAGAGGGAAATAATAAGGCGACAGCAAATAACAATTTGGCTGTCGTCATACATAAACATAGTCAATATGTGCCGATATTATGCCATGTTTATTTGAATATACCAAGTAATAATACACATTATTGCTTCTCTTATCTCATTTAACACTTTGAGAGTCTCATGTTCTGTGATTATATTGTTTTAATAAGAAGTTATATTTCAGAAATGCAATGTACTCGTTAAGACATAATATATCTAGTCTGCACCACGTTATGCCAACGCGTGTCTAGTTAATAGATTTCATATAATTGGGTGTGAAACAGTTCCTGTTAGATCCTTCGGGCGGGTTGGTCTGGACGGAGAGTCCCACACCTCCTGTCTGTCTGTTAGGCAGCGGTAATACATAAAGCATTCTCCCTACGACACAAAAGTAAAAAAAAAACCTCATATATTCTACAATACGTGGGGTGGGGCTAATGTCTCCCATACTAAATATAAGAAAATTTCCTAATCCACGTGTGGCGATGCGCGAATCGGGTTGGATATATTTTCAGTCTTATGATTCTTCATTAGGTTGTTCTTCATGAGGCTACAGTATCGACAGGGTTTACAATCACAATCTTACCAAATTCAGTTGGGACGCGGGCGAGATCTTGCGAGTTTATGAATATCAATACCGCGAGATTTCGCCAATTACGAGATCTCGCGAGATTGGCACTTTTGTATCTTTACTGTAATATTTATCTAACTCACAATATTTGAATAAATTAGAAAAAAATATAGGAATTATAGGTATTATGAAATAAATATTTTTTTAAGGGTATTTTCAATAAAAATTTGTGTATTTAACATTGGTTGACGCAATTATATTTTTTTATCTAAAACCTTTAAAAGAGCAATTACTGTACTATAATTTCTGAAACGGCTCCAACAATTTTCATGACATTAAGTATGCAGGGGCTTTCAGAGGCGATAAATCGATTTAGTTAGGTTTAATCAGCCTCAGAGAAGACCCTTTCAAAAACACAAGAACTGTAAAAGCGTAAAACTTTGCCTTTTAACCCCCCGGAATCGCATAAATTCGGGCTGCCGAACTTAGAATAAATCGAAAACTAGAAAATTTTATGCTCGAGTGCAATCTCGTTAAACTCGCGAGATCAAGATCGAGATTGCATTCCCTAACTGTTATAAACGCTCATTGGTTGGACATGAATGTCCAGGGATTTATTAACGACACAATATATAAAAACTTTAAAAAAAAATTCAAACTTTAAAAAAGTAATTAATGATACTTATCTCAATAAAATGCTAATAATATTTTTAAACTCACACGATTTGTATACATTATAATTATATGCAATCGGGTCTTGTTCGTGCATTTTTTAAACAATTAATTTACCTCGACGTTTCGGCTACGTTACAGCAGCCGTGGTCACGAGGAGACTGGAGAACTGGCGGGTGTCGTCTTCTGATTTTAGTTGAGGGTAATCCAGTAATAATGTTTTTAACAGATTTTCAGATGTAACCCTCCACTTGATTTTATTATAAGTAAAGGTGGCGACACACTGCACTTACGGTATCCGAGAATATTGTTCGTGGTTGTTTGCGATCGCGACACTTATACATTTTTATAACCGGATTCCACGTTGGTGAGAGTTTATATCCACTTTCCCGGTTGAAATTGTTGTGTTTTTTTATTTCAACCGCTTCACGAACAATCCTTGGATAGTAATGTCGTTCAGTGGAAAGGACATGAGGTGTATGTAACTCGATCCAGTGGTTTGATCCAGATGATAATAAGTGCTCTGCAATCGCGGACTTCTCCACTTGACGATTTTTGACCGCTGCTATGTGTTCTCTTACACGTTCGGCGATAGTCCGCTTCGTTTGTCCGATATATGAACTACCGCAGCTGCAGTCAATTTTATAAACGCCAGGTTTTTGGTAAGGAATACTATCCTTTGGTGATCGCAATTGGTGTGACATTTTTGATAAAGGAGTAAAAATGGTGTCTATAGAAAATTTTTTCCTCAAAATGGAACCAATTTTGTCCGTTACCCCCCTTAACATAGCCTAAAAATGCCCGTTGCCTGGGAACCTTAGGTAGTCTTTCCTTACACCTTCGGATAGGGTATGACCTCCTTGCGCTACATACGTAGACGATGTGTTCTGTATCCTGAAGGGCGACAAACCGGAGATTGAGCAGTTCCTTACACACGTCAATAATATCCATCCGAATCTCAAGTTCACCTATGAGTTAGAGAGTGACAAAACCTTACCCTTTCTGGACGTTAAAGTCATGGCGCAAGGTGATGGGTCCCTGAAACACACTGTCTACAGGAAACCAACACACACAGACAAGTACCTCCACGCTTCATCTCATCATCATCCTCAACACCTACGTTCTGTGGAGACAACTCTTATTAACAGGGCTAACGCATTATGTAATACTGACTTCTTAGCAGATGAGTTGTCCCATGTACAGGACGTGCTAAGGAAAAATGGATACAGCGCAAGGAGGTCATACCCTATCCGAAGGTGTAAGGAAAGACTACCTAAGGTTCCCAGGCAACGGGCATTTTTAGGCTATGTTAAGGGGGTAACGGACAAAATTGGTTCCATTTTGAGGAAAAATTTTTCTATAGACACCATTTTTACTCCTTTATCAAAAATGTCACACCAATTGCGATCACCAAAGGATAGTATTCCTTACCAAAAACCTGGCGTTTATAAAATTGACTGCAGCTGCGGTAGTTCATATATCGGTCAAACGAAGCGGACTATCGCCGAACGTGTAAGAGAACACATAGCAGCGGTCAAAAATCGTCAAGTGGAGAAGTCCGCGATTGCAGAGCACTTATTATCATCTGGATCAAACCACTGGATCGAGTTACATACACCTCATGTCCTTTCCACTGAACGACATTACTATCCAAGGATTGTTCGTGAAGCGGTTGAAATAAAAAAACACAACAATTTCAACCGGGAAAGTGGATATAAACTCTCACCAACGTGGAATCCGGTTATAAAAATGTATAAGTGTCGCGATCGCAAACAACCACGAACAATATTCTCGGATACCGTAAGTGCAGTGTGTCGCCACCTTTACGTATAATAAAATCAAGTGGAGGGTACATCTGAAAATCTGTTAAAAACATTATTACTGGATTACCCTCAACTAAAATCAGAAGACGACACCCGCCAGTTCTCCAGTCTCCTCGTGACCACGGCTGCTGTAACGTAGCCGAAACGTCGAGGTAAATTAATTGTTTAAAAAATGCACGAACAAGACCCGATTGCATATAATTATAATCAATAAAATGCTATTACAGTTAAGCGGAGGTCTTCAGTAGGTTTATTGATTGATTGATAGTCGCCCGACTTCAATAGTAATTTCTTGTATATGTCGCTTTTGATATAAGTATTATTTATCACTTTTAAAATTGAAATCGATTTTTTAAGTATTTCATGCCTTTTATTAATACTGGTTCTTAGTAACACTAATAATACTGAGTGTCTATTTATAAAAAAATATTCAACATAGTGAAAATCTTAGAAAAGTAGTTTTTGTTTATTCGCTCGATTTTTTTTCCGAAAATTCTATACTCATATTATAAACAGGAAAGGTTTGATTGCTTATTTGTTTGCATTAGATAGGCTCCAAACCTTTGGACCGGCTTATAAAAGTCTTTCAAATACGGAAAGCTACATAATACGCGTTGGACGTAGGCTATATTTTACTCAGGCGACGTCGCGGGGAAACAGCTAGCTTGTAGAAATTGGTTCACAATTCAAGAAGACATCGATTGACGTACTTACTTTGATAAAAATATACTTAACTCCTTGAATATAGAAAATCTTCCTTCCAGATTTGGAATCAATTCAAATTACGCAATCTTTTTTTTTTAGTTGAATACATGAAATATATAACATAAATAATCTTTATGGTGATATATGGTGAAAAAGCGTAGTTTATTTTGTTATAAAAGGAAAACTACTGATTTGATATCGAAAAAAATTAAATGGTCCATTGGAATAAAAATAAGCTGTGGAATAAAAATAGAATTTTGAAAATCGGTCAACAATTGGCGGAATTATCGGTGAACATATAAGGTTGGGGAAAAAGTTTTTTCACATATAGTATGCATAAACTTGTAATAAAATCTGTCTGGCTATACCATTTGTATATTAAGTTTTAATTTTAAAGAAGATAACTCCGAATTCAAATTAGGAATATATGTAATTTTCATTTGTTTTTCTTGTCTTTAAAAATGAGTGAATCTAATGCAGAAATTCGATATATTTTCATATTTTATTACATATAAGGTAAAAATGCAAGTCGTGAAAAAAATGTGATTTTTATGGACCTGCTGTTGTTTCTGTGAGAGTAGCATTAATTTGGCATTTAAGCATTTCAGTCCGGAAATTTTGATGTCAAAGATGCACGTCGATTCGGTCGCCCTGTTACGGATAAAATAGATCCCATTTTTTAAAGAGTAAAGCAAGATCGGCATATCAGTAGTAACAACGTAGCTGAAGAACTGGCGATTGACCACAAAACAATTTTGATGCATTTGCAAAAAGTTGGATATTTGGGTACCTCACGAGCTCACTGAATGAAACCTAATGAACCGTGTGCCCATTTGTGATTCAATGAAACCAAACCATTTTTGAAAAAGCTGATAACTGGTGATGAAAAATGGATCACGTACGGAAAGAACATGCTAAAAAGGTCGTGCTCAAAGGTCGGTCAAGCTTCATAGACTGTAACGAAACCCGGTTTAACTCGCAGCAAGATGATGCTGTGTATATGGTGGGATTGGAAGAGAATTAGTAAAGGCCAATCGATTCTGATACTGCGAGCAACTGATGAGATTAAAGCAAGAAGTTGAGAGAAAGCGGCCACAATTAATCGATAGAAGGGGTGTGGTTTTTCATCATGATAATGCTAGATCTCACACATTTTATGCCACTTAGCAAAATTTTGCGAGTTTAACTTGCACCTTCAGATTTCACATGCTTAGGTCTCTTCAGAATTCTTTGGCAGTGTTGTTTAATATTACGCGAGGAATGCCAAAACTACTTGTCGCGTTTTTGATCAGAAGCCCTAAAATTCCTATAGCCATGGGATCACGTCCCTACCTACAAGATGGCAAAAACTTATGGCACGAAATGGTACCTACATACTTCAGTTAAATGTAAATAAAGAGTTAATTTAAAAAAGTTTTGTATTTTCGTTTAAAATGCTAAGAAACATTTTCCCAACTTATAACATAAAAAAAACACACATCGCCGTCGAACATATAACCTCCTCCTTTTGGATTTTGAAGACGTTTAAAAAGAGATTTGATACACTTGTGATATCGGAATAATTTTCTCTAAGGAAACTTTTTGGTATAATAATAAATACTGCACAATCTTTTTGAGTTAGTTACAAATTAAATGTTTTAGATTAGGTGATATGCTCATCGCTAACGGCTTGTGCCGTGTTTGACGATGTTTAGTAGATATTTTTTGATTTTTGTATGTGATCATAAGTAAGACACGGCAACGGCTATTAAACCATGAAGATGCCTATACCTTTACATTTTCAACGAAGCAAAATATGTAATACGTATATCAACTTCAATTTCTACATGAAACTAAAAGTAAAAAACTAAAATAAAAAGTCATGCATTTTAATATTAATATTTTATTAAAATTTTTGTATAAAATATTATTGTTAACGTAATAATTAATGTGGTAATAAATTGTGATGGAAATTTGAAAGATCAAATTACTAGAATCGAAAATGAGTATTGATAATACAAACTTGAGTACTTAAATATTATAGGTACAATTCCGTTAATTCATATTGTCTTTGTTCAACAAAATAAAAAAAACCCTTTAAAAAGTAGTTATACCTATATGTATATTGTTTCATTACTTTATTACCAAGTCTTATAAAATATTTAATACAAAAGTATATTATACATTACGTAATCTTTATTTATTGTCAATATAACACATTCTTTATACATCTCACACAGAATACATTCACACACTCGCATACATATACATAGAACTAAAAAAATACAGTCCAGTTTATAATACAAAAATAAACTTGACTAATCAATGTAACTTAACCACTGATGTGCTAATATTCATCGAGAGTAATTAAAGTGTATATAATTTAAAAAAATAATAAACTATTACATTAATAATTCACAGTTATTTTGTTCGATTGTTTCTTTTTACAAACGATCAACACTAGCATTTCGTGTTCTACCATAAATATACAAAATATATCATTAAAATTATATTTACATTGCAATTCGAATTTCGTTGAATGTAGATTCACATAATTATCAGGACCTCAATATTGTTTATGTTAACGTAATAATCGCGTCTTGATGGCGTTTAAAATAACTCAACTTTGTTACTGTATTATCTACTTGTTTATTGATATGTTAAAGGTGACAGTCGTTTTTGTTATATTGTCAATAGAATATAAAAATAAATTTTATTTAAACGCCACTGACACGCCATTATTATGTTAACAGAATACGGCCCGGTTTTGTAATAGCCCTGCTTCATGATATGGCAGTGTTTGCCTAAAATACTTGAGCATTTTCTTCGTTGATCATCACCTCAGATCAGAACATCAACACATTCACTGTTTCAAAAATTGCACAGTGTAAATAGTGCTTTTGCTATATTATTCCTATTGATTTTTGTGACAATATAAAATATTTTTGGTGGGGCTGTAAATAAACACTAAACAGTGAATGTGTTAATTCACATTTTGCGTTTTAAACTATATTACTAAAGCGTAATAAACTCTATAGTTACATACTGGAACACCCTCGGTTACCACCGTTAGAAAATAGATGCATAAGAAGATTGCATTTGTTGTAATGTGACCTCATTATATAATCATAATTGTATTTTATAATCTATAGTAATATAATCCTTTTTATTATTCATCGTTATTCATACGATGAATAATAAAAAGGTGTTGGGATGCACTCTGCTATTAATTACCTTTGTATTTATACTCGCTTTTTTATGTCTTAAATTAGGTGATATGCCTAACGGTAGCAACACCGGCCTTCGCCTATACAGTTAAATACAATAATATTTGACTATTATTGTTCGGATACACCGAGAATTGAAACTAGTACGTAGTATTATGTAAGTTTGACCAGAATACGTAGAAACGCAATCCCTTAATAATTACTGACCTTCGCTGTCGCTGTCACTTTTATCTGTAACAAAAACACAATTATTTCATTTATTTATTTTTGTTGACACAATAGTGTTGTATAAGTTACATCAGGTTTGTACGTATGAGCTCTCCAGATTGTAGCAGTGGTCTGTTTGATAACAATGGGTCGAGTAAGATGCGAACGGAAACTTCCTTTCATAAATAATAATAGGTTTATGTCTTATGCAATAATACTGGGTTTCGTTAAAAATAAATGAAGATAGCTGTGATGACGTAACAATTTTAAATCTTACTACAAACGACTAACTTTTGGTGTGAAGTGTGGTATAATATATATGTATTACTTGAAAGAGCTCATTATGAATGAATTAATAGATAAATATTATATACTTTAGTATGTAGGCCAATCGCCAGATTAATCTGTAAAGTATGTTAGATAGGGCTGCTACAATTGTAATGAGATGATTATTTACGAATCTAAGTTGTTTTAATAATTCATTCTTAAGGAAAATTCTGGAAGTATGGGCGGTTTTTCTGTAAATTGACTAAGTCGTTATGATAATGATTAATTTTGTCAAAGCTGTACAAGAATATTAGAAAGATGGATATTTATAGATGTAATAATCATAATAACTAAGTCAATTTACAGAAAAACCACCCATTATTCCAAAAACGTCTTTTAAATTATTACTTCATAGGTAAATTGTGTACCATTCACACAGACGAGTGAAAAGTTTGTTTTAGAACCTCTGTAACCATTCTAAAATCGAATATCGTTAGCGTAGCCAGACCGACAAATTTAGACTCTAGGGAAATTTAAAAGTTATTTGTTGGTATGCTTTAACGGAATCGAATATATTTAAAAGCTTCCCTTATATAAGACATAATTTGATCTTTTCGATTTCTTTCATAGAGTAAAGTATATCAAACTAACCTACATCAAAATATTTCGAAACGAAAATAAATGGAAGAAAGATAAAATGTTTTTCTTCTAGAACATCGTTTCCCAAACTGTGATCCACTGACCCCCGAGGCCCAACGGCTAGATGTATGGTGGTATGAAGTGCTCTAGAGACTTTCTCAATGTTAGCAAATGCTAATAGTGAAACAACATTAATTAACTTGTCACTTTTACATTTAGTTGCAAAAACTTGTACGTTATTCAGGGTGCGTTACTTGGGTCTCAGAACCAGAACAGGTTAGGAAACGCTGTCATAGAATAATCTCTACATAGTATAAAACAAAGTCGCTTTCTCTGTCCTTATATCCCTATGTATGCTTAAATCTTTAAAACTACGAAACGAAACTAATTCGTTTCGTAGTTTTAAAGCTACGAAACTAATACGCGGGCGATGCCGCGGGCGGAAAGCTAGTTAAAGAATAAAGCAAATAAAGTAACGTGCATCAAGCTGCAAAGATTAAAAGTAACGTGTACACTAATCTAAGTGCTGAAATACTGACCTTTCTTACCAGGATACGCATGCCTCTTCAGCCTATCGTAGAGGTCTTCCTTAGTCCCGTATATGCTCGCGTTGGACCTCGCCAAGCTGTTCATTTTCCCATTCATACCGTTGTGTAAGCTCTCTTTCATGTAGGTCTCGTTGTAGAAATTTGGCATTTCCCAACCGTCTTCTTCATCATCATAGTAGTGAGCGTAAGTGGAGTGATGAGATGGTGCTATTGATTCTGCGTATGGTGTATGCGCTCCATAATAGAAGTTCACTTGAGAACCGTTTTGGTCTATAGCTGGCGTTAGTGTCTTCTTTGGTTCTTTCCGCTTTGTAGATCTAGAAGAAGATTAATGCGATTCACATTAAGGTCTATTTAAATAAGTTATTTTAAACTTTCGTGGTTGTTTACGTTAGAATGATTATTGATTATGGGATAGCGTTTGGAACAGCGGCGAAATATCGGGGTCTCGATAAATATAAAGTACATGATAGTAACCCCGCAATTAACAATAATTCTATTTATATCTATTTCAATTTCATTAAATTAAATTCTAGACTTAATTGAGGCAAAGTTTCGTTGTTTAACGAGTTTAGTCTTAAATATTTATGTATTCAGAAATAACAAAATCATCATGATATAATAAAAAACATAAAGACGTGCATTATAGCATGTCACCCGCGTATGATGTAGTTGAACGTAGGTGAAAGAATCAGACCAGCAAACAATCAAATCCTTCGTCTTTATAGTCTTAATTTGTATCATGATTTTGTTCAAGTACCTAATGTTAAAACAATTGATATTGTAGGTACATAAGTATTTCCGCTTGTGTTGTTATAAATATAAAAATTTATTTACATCACATATTTCCCAAAAGAACAAATGTTTAGTCCCGATTTCAAGAAACTTTCAAGAAATCGGGACTTCACATATTTTATTAGTTGACATTTTCGATAAAGGTTACTGATAAATTGGGGTTTCCGATAACTAACTTGTGTGTAATATACATAAAAAATGTATATTTTATCTATATGGCACAGGGGATAGCGCGTTGATGTGGAGGTTAAAGCCGCTATAGTTAAGGCCGGTCATAGAATGAGTGACCAAAGATTAATTATCTTGAGCTGTACCGTACTCGGAAGGTACCATCCCGGGTGCAGTCGTCATATCCACCAAGTCGTACTTGGCTTTCGTGGTAAATTAATAGACTGATGATGATTTAAGGGAATTTAGTGTTGATATCTCACCTGGCACAGATCATCCATACGAGCAACACAAGGAATATGATGAAGATGACTCCACCCGCGACTCCGCTTGCGATGTAAGCAAATTCACTTTTCTCAGTACAATGGCGGCCGGTGAATGATCCTGTACACCTACAAGAAGGTTCGCCGCGTGCATCCTTCACGCACTCGCCTCCATTGTCACAGTAGTCCAGGCAAACGTCTGTGGAGATCATTTATGGTATTTTAAACAACATATGCAATCAAAAAATACAAAAACATAAAATAAAAGCATTAATTTTAACAAGAAACAACATAATACACAGTTTAAAACAAACAAAACTATTCACAGATTCGTAAAAAAAATTAAATTGGCAATTATGTGTGTAAGATGTCAGAACTGATTTCAGCACAGTGTAAGTAATGAAAACAAGGACTATAAATATTTGTGAAATAAGAATAAAGGAAAACAAATTAAACGACTAAAATAGGCATAAATATTATTTGCAAAAAAACAAAATTTTAGTTAGTTCTCATTTTAAAACGACTATAGAATAAAGAATCAACACTACATTCCTACGCGCACTAACAGAGAAAATGAAAATATGTTGGATGGCGATTTCAGAAACAAAACATGTGTTTGAAGGAAGGATCAATATGAAGGAAGACATTTCTGAAGACCGTACTTTAAGATACTCTGTTTTTTTCGCAAACTCTACAAGTGGTCTGTTTTTAGCTGATGGATATGGACATTTGCTGTGAAAATATGTAATAGCAACTAAAATAACCACCATCGGTAGAGTATGATGAAAGATTGTACTTTTATTTATATTTTGCATTCATGACACAGAAACGTATAACATGTTTATTCTGTAAATTAAATGTCTTTTGATACTTTTTATTATTTTTCTCACGTCTCAAGGGAGCGTGCGTGTGTGATATGAGCTATTTTTGACCGCGAAAATCACTTAATTATTCCCATTTGACAACGCTGGGACAGACAACAGCTCAAAAGAAGTTTAGATTTAAGAACATAATTGATACTTAACAGTTAAAGTTATTTCAGAGAATATGCTCAAGGTTTAAAGCGACATCTAGCGGGAAAGTAAGTTCTGTTCTCAAAGTCTGCTCTATGTATATTGCTACTGCTTTAGTACGGAACTCGAATCATTGTTTGCAGATGGAGATAAAATAATTATTTCGATGGTATTGATATAAAAGGTTCCTTAAAGGTATGAAACAGTATTCAAAGTGCTTAAAGCTAAATCATGTTTTCATATTGTCATGATAATAATTTAATTACGATAGTAGTATCTAAACTTACCAACGCAAACTTTTCCGGTGCCATTAAAGCCAGGCTTACACTGACATTTGAAGTCATTAGTTTCTTTCATGAGTAGACAATAGGCGTTCACATCGCAATGCATCTCAGGGCCGCTCATTTCGCAAGGGTTAGTGCAGTCAGCTTCTGAAGTCTGAAAAGACAGGTGGGATTTTCATTATGGTGGCTTTCTTAATCAACTAGAAATTAGTTGCAAGCTTTAATTTATGTGATATAATTAACTATGATTGACATATTTCAGCAAATTTTTTACATTTTAAATCTGTAATGACATAAGAACCTAAATTTTCTTCACGATTTACCTGTAGCGACTGGTAAAAGCAGCATCAAAATCAGGTCAATAGTTTTTGAGTTTACGTATAACGTATGAAATGGAAAACGCAGTGGAAATCAAGTTGTAGGTTTGAAATAAAAGTTATTTTTTGACACGCCTTCATATATATATTTTGGCGTCGTATGGAGACTATAGCACCTGTAAAGAATCGAACTACAGCTAGTCTACTTCAAAATCTTTCTGTATGATTTCTAAACTATGTAGAACTTATTTTGATAAATCCCGATGTCTGGTAGTCCTAGTAATAGCATTATAGTACAGCCACATCATGTACTATTAGATATATATGTCCTAACAGTGGGCGTTTACTTTATTATTTATTTTTAATTATCACGATTTTTATATACTCACAGCACCAGGTTCTTTAGTACTGGTATTGATAGGACACGTGATACACGTGGTCTGTTGAGCTTCCGGCTGATATGTGCCTTTCTTGCATTGTACGCAAGTATTCTGAGATACATCGAGGTATGAACCTGTAATAAATTTAATTGAAATTTAAAATACCTACTTACTTTAAGAAATTATAGAAATGGCAAGAATTCATTATCAATGTGTAATTTTAATGTTTTTGTTTAACGCGAAATATTGACAAACTCAAAACTTGACATTGTATGATCACATTTGCTCAGATGGGTATGATATTATTTGATTCTTGAATGCAGGTGTAATTATTACACGTTTCATGCCTGAAGAATATACCTTTCAGATCTTTGCTTTCGCTTAAATTTAGTATTGTATGTACGTAAATATACATATAACGTTTATGTATAAGATGGGGATTCATGCAGGTCATGAATTAAAATATTATGAAAAGATCGGACGTACCAGGTTTGCAGACAGGCAAGGAGCATTGGTCGGCGGAAGCGGCGCCGGCTTGTGGCGTAGTGGTTCCAGGCGGGCAGGACGCGCACGCGGCTCCGGCACCACTCGCACGGAATGTACCGCGAGGGCATGGCTCACAACCTCCTTCGCTGCTCAACTGTTCACCTATTAATTACCAAAAATAAGATTAAATTTGTTAGAATGTTTGGGTATGGAAGAATTGAAAACAGCACACATCTATTGAAATTACTTTGTTCGATACCCAATTGAGATAATTTAAAGCATTAATAAGCTCCATGGAAAGAAATTTATTCGAGGAATTTTACAGTTATTTATCGTACTTATCTAATATTTTTTGCCAACAAATAGAAAAGATATAATATCAAAAATATAAATGTCAAAATGTCAAGCCCAATTGACCGAGTCCTGCGCAAGTGATCATCTATCAAAAATAGCCAAAAAATACCAGTCAGAAGTGTCCTGACATGAGATCAATATAACATTGTGATTGCAAAATCTCTGCCTACCCCGCAAGATATTAGGCGTGAAGATATAGATATATATAATTTAAGATGAATATTTTATTAAAACATTATAAAATAATACCTGACGGACAGTCGTCTCTACACTCAGCTGGTGACACAGCTTCGGTAGCTCGTGTAGTCTGACCTCTTGGGCAAGACATACAAGAGAACGCCCCTTCTCTTGATTGGTATGATCCGTGTCCACAGGGACGACACAATTCAGCTTCCGCATCGTAATATTTACCAGCAGCGCATCTCTCTGTAAATAATTACAATAATAATCATATCATATAGACCAGGGACAATTTTCAGTTTTTATATAGGCTAGGGATCGAACCCACATATCGTTGATACATCTTTGAGACCAAGTTGTAAGCAACTAGTTCATAGACGACGATGTTGATATACAATTTAATATAAATCCAAATTTTGTGAGAAATTACTTTTCATAGATTTTGAGATCGGTTTAAGTATGGGGAGTGGAATCAATATCTAATATGTATAATAATACAGGAAAATAAAATTTATCTTTTGTCAGCTCTACAAACCGTTTCTAACACAATTTTTTTTTAAATATTGTGTTAAAAATCTTTTGAAATGAAAACAGCGAATATGAAAGCTCAAGCTCATTGCAGCAGCCACTGCGGACTGATATTACTTATGTGTCAGGGGAAATGTAGTGAGACAAAGAAGTTGAAACGCAAGTGAAATTAGTTTTGGTGTCTTCGGTGATGTAGAACATTATGGGTAGTGGCGTTGGGAAATAAGTTTATGATTTAAAAATTGAACAGAATAGTTATAAAATAAAACCAGTATTCGTTCGTTGCTTCGTCTGTAAGAGTAAAAGTAGCGTATATTTTTTGATGAAGAATTTTTGACAGAATTTCTGAATCAAATGTTATGACAGTTTTTATTATAAGTTCTGTGCTGATATGAAAGTGGAAGAAGGGCATGGATTAAGTCCTTATGGCTTCTAAGGATTGAGGGAACAGATTTTATGTTGCAATTTATATAACAAACAATTTAAGGTATTGGGCGGTGAGAAATTAGTAATGAAAGCATGATTTATTTAGGCCAGTATACCTTTACAATCCGCCGCGCTTCTGGCGCCAGCAGCTTGTGTGACTCCGGGCTGGCCAGCGATAGTTGGACAGGCTGTACATTGTAATTGTCCAGCTTCTGATTGGTACGTGCCGGTCGGACATGGTTTGCAGGTATCGCTAGCTGTGTCCAAATAAGTTCCGACAGCACAAGCCACTGAAATTTGTAAAATAATACAACACGATTATTAGTGAAAGTTATTAGAAAATACCTGGTACACATTTGACTGTAGTCAGTGACCATAGCTTTATTTTACTATGAAATTAACATTAATTTGTTAATATTCCGAATTGTTTATACTGAAAAAGGAGTATAATATTTTTTTTCTATAATTTTGATTTTGGATTTAATTTGCGTCATCAGCCAAAAAAATCAGAAGAAGCAGCAAATATTTATATACGCTATTATTTATTAGGATCCTAAAATAGAGATGTATATATATCATATTCGTATAATATTATTTTGATATTAATGTTACACATACCGCAATCTGGTGCCATGACAACTTGTCCCATAGGACAGGCGTAGTCAGATACCAGAGACAAGCTAGCCGGATCGGGTACGGTGTTCGGAAGTATATTTCGTACGTCGAATTGTTCGTCCTCAAGGATTAGTTTCTCCAGTAATCTTTGTACTGTAGATCGCTCGTTATTACCATTATGGATTACTGGATCGCTGTAATAAATAAACGTTTTTTAACATCACAGATTAAAAGTTACTGTACAAGAGACACAGAACAACTAAAATTCGATGCAAGTATTCCTATTATTTCTTGGAGAAGTACTCATGTAAGGCTACATGCGTTGCCCAAAAATAGTCACAACTTTAATAACAATGTAGATTTTCGTAAAATAGATGTGCAACAGAACATGCAAATAACTTACTTAACAGCTGGGAATGAGATCTCAACGCTGTACGTATCGCCCGCCTGACGTCCCTCCCTATTGCTGCGACTCCTAAGTGCCAGAGAAAAGAACATGCAATTGTGTTGGAAGGACATGCCTTTACGAAACAAAGGACTTCAGTGCAATCTTTAGTCTAAATTATATTCAAGATACTAGACAAAGTGCTGTGTTATTTCAACACATGCTTCTTAGTAGTGCGCTACAGTTATGTATGCATTGCGTTTTGAATATAAATGTTGACTACTACAAAATTAGCAGATCATGTGCAAAATCTCTATGTGCCCCTACTAGGTGTTTGCTAGAGGGATGCTAGTAAACTATTCCTTAAAACCTACATTATAGAATTAAGATTACATAAAATAAAATGAGACTTACTCTTCCACGGGTATAATAGCATCCAATACATATGTATCTTCAGTGGGGGCGCTAGGAGGTGACGAAACTTGGCGCGTCTGTCTCACATTGGCTCGGTGGTCACATTTAACGTTGATATCCAATTCCTTGCATTCTCGTGTACCTAATATGGAAAAGATTCATTTAAAATTTATATTTTTATCTAGGAAAAGTATTTGACAATCTAAACATACCATCGACGGCATAAGAGCAGAAGTTCCAGTCTCTGTTAAGTTGGTTGATTGCAGTTCGTACTTTTTGTCGAAGTACACCTTGACCTGCGTCATTGCAGAGAACCGAACTTGGGAAGAGCATCGATATCTTAAATACACGTTGAGCTGGAGATGCCGCTGTAAATTGAAGTTGATATTTTTGGTTATTAGATGAATCGACTATGATTTTTTATACTGCAAATAAAAATGTAAATGTCTTACGTGAGCAAGCAGGATATACCAGCGGTAAGTTAGGATCTGTTGTTGGTCTCCAGAAACCTTCAGCTCCGCATGTGTAGAAAGGTGGTACAGGTTGTGAGAAACGAAGGCCGTCACGACACGTTATTTCGCATACTTTAAATTGACCACCAGCTCCCCAATCTCTACACGATTGGTATCCACCAAGAGGATCCGCCAGAGGGGGACAAAATTCCGCTACAACAATATTATATTTGAATTTCAAATTTTCAGCAGTCCAATAATCCAGAATAAATAAATAAAAACATGAGATGACTTACATAATACTGTAACTTTAAATGTGCATGTGGCAGTATTTCCAGCAGCATCGTATGCAATATAAGCGATATCATATGTGCCCCATACAAGGTTCTGGCCAGGTTTATGTCCAGAATTTTCCAAAATTTTATCAACGCCAACATTATCGCTAAATACAGGCGCGTCCCAGTTAACTACAGATGATCCATTCTTAGCAATTACCCACAGATCTCCTGGACAGCGTTCCACACGTGGAGGTTCTTTATCAACTTGAAGTTGTTGGCATTTAGGACCAGTATATCCATTAGCACATTTGCGCTGGCCACAGTGTGATGGAACGATTCTTTCCACGCCTCCAATAATATCATCGTAACCAGCCCAAGTTAAGGTTAAGCCGTTGTATAGAACTGGTTCCGTACGGCAATCTCGAACCTGTTTCTGAATTTCATTGGTTACATCTAGAGCACGATTCCATATTTGTACTTTTGTTAAATGTCCTTGGAAGCCAGATTCTGTATAAGCTTTAGGATTATCTGATTGTGGTTTGCCAAGTGTAACCCAAACACTGAAAAGAAAAGCTATTGTGAGAAATATGATCTATTATAATCAACTCAGAAGAAGGAGGAGACTCTCATTATGATTTTTGTTTTCTTTTTAAGATCAATAAAAAATATATTTAAAGTTGGGGCCTTAAAAGCAGGACTAAAATCCTTCATAAATGTTTTTTTAAATTACTTACTATTTTGGAAGACTTCGTCCACTGCCGTACCCTTCAAGTTTGCTAGCAATTAATCCTTCAGTAATGAGTGTTAGTTCACCGCCGTTGTTACCATCCCATACGAGCGCAACATGGTGCCATTGGCCATCATTCACAGTTGCAAATTCACCAAAACTGAGATATACATCTTGCAATTCCGGAAATAGGGATACTTGAACTCCATTTGAATGAGCTTGGATGATCGTTCTTCTATTCAGAGCGATGTGAGAATTGCTAAAATTCATTAATTAATAGTATAAAAACTTGACTTTCCAAGATTAATAAAATAGTATAAAGGCTTTTTAATGTACCTGACACTATACGCAGTGAAGAAAACACCACCTTCATCCTGTTGTGTATACTGAACCCACATAGCGATTGTCAAACTGTCTGTGGATCCTGTATCAAATGGTACCACTTGTGAGGCACTCGAACGTAATGGATCGCTGAAGTACAGGTCATAGTCGACGCTTATTGCTGGAATAGAAATATTTTGGCATGTGATAATATAGTTATTTATTATTATTTTCATGTGTTTAGATAAATGTTGGCAACACTTGTTTCGATAAATTAACGCATTTCGTTACGTATTGACTATGGAAATATTAATTAGAACTTTAGCATAAAGTTCTGCCTGCTAAATATTTAATTCAGTAGTATTCGGGTTATATGAATTAGTACACATTACCAGTTAAAATTATGAGCAAATATTCATGTCACCCGGTAATATATTAAGACATTCATAAATTGCAGTTGCTTTATATAATTTCAGTGCATGATATTTAGAAAAAAGTAAAAAATCTGCTTTTAAATTAGTAGGGGAAATTTTTACTGAAAACGTTGATCTTATGAAATACTTACTTTTTCGACAATCATCACCCGTAAGATTGAATGGACATTGACAATAGAATCTTCCTGGTAAATCTATGCATGTAGCAGATGGTGGGCATGAATTTTCTTTGCAATCAACTATGTCTTCATCGCAGTTCTTCCCTTGGAAACCTGGGGCGCAAATACATGTATAATCCTCGCCTTCATCTATGCACGTAGCTCCGTTTTGACAAAGGCCAGCGTCACATGCATCAAATTCATATTGACAACCGATCCCGATGTAATCTTGGGAACAGGTACAGTTTAGTCCAGAGCCGAAATCTTGGCATTTCCCTCCATGCATGCAAGGACTGCCGATGCACCTTTCAGGTGCAGTTTCACATTGTTTTCCATCAGTACCGCTCGGGCATCTGTAATAAGAATTAACGTCATATATGAAGGATTGAAAATCAAAGAATATTTGGCGAAGTATGCGAGGGATAGGTTGAAAATAGGCGATGAGATTTTGTTATTTTTGTTTTCATTTTGTTATATCTTGTTAGAATTTATGTTTAACTAGCTTTTGCCTGCGACTAGGTCTACGTGGTAAAGTTACTATGGGCAACATATCTAAAAACTCTAAAACAAATATTATTCATATCTGAATATAAAGTTTTATGATTTTATCTTTGAAAATGACGCACTTCCATGATTTTTTTAAATTTTAAAATTAGCATGGATTAATTAGACAATTATTTTGTCACTCAATATATCATATTATTTAAAAAGAGAGTACCAGACAAAATAATTAGACTAAGAACTATAAATCACAATTGCTTGGTCGACTTTTAAACTCACAGCAGTTTTTTCTAGTTTAAAATGAAGAGATTTTGTGTGAACTAATGAAAATATATCGTAGCTAACTGAGTAAAATATCCGTCCAATTATAGAATAAACCCGTTCAATGCACGGCTACATGTCGATCAGCTAAGTAAGCATCACAACATCTTTCTACAGTGCGGCTTTACAAATTATAGGTTACTGGTTAACTGACAAGGATCACGATACGTAATACAATAATTAATTTTCTTAATAGCAAAACATCCGCGATATTAGAATAAAATTACTTTGATGTTAAACTTCGAAGACACTACAACAATAAGCTATATATATATATTAACCGACTAATGTCCAATATATTTCAGATATAAGGTTTCAGTATTTTATCTCTGAAACCCTTAAACCTTAAAATGTAAAGTACACACAAAAGTTAATCGAAAACTGAATCTACGAAAAATGTTTTGAACAAAACGAAAACGCAGTTTAGTTTTAATTAAACGCCAGCTTAAAGATATATCAAAGCTTAAAGATTTTTCTTACTATATATTATTTCAAATTAAATTAAATTATTTATTGGCTTTAAACTTAGGAAATTATACTCGGTAAGTCTTTTATATTTCAAAGGTCTAAAACAAATCATTATGGGATTGTGAGGAAATTAAGTATTTTAAGAATTTTAAGTAGATTATTTTAACAATTCATATTAATCAATTATATTAAATTATTAATTAAATAATAAAAATTATATTATAAAATTCAAGCTTGCCCTAAACAGTGCAATGTAGAAATATACATAACACCTTAACACCTTTTAATATAGCATAAAATATATAGTTTGTGTTAACTGTCGTATATGAAATAGTTTTAACTTCAATATTAAAACATTTTTTTATTTTAAAATGTTATTTTTGAATAAAGAATTAAAGAATGTTAGATATTAGAATTATTACAATGACAAATCAAATTGTAAACAATGGTTGCTATGGTAACATTTTCATTCTCTGTAAAAACGTTTCCTTCAATTTTCATCCCTTTAAGTGTTAGTTTTCAGGATAAAATATAACCTAAATATTTTTTATTGATATTGGTCTAAAAACAAAGAACTTTAATAGAAACCTTTTTGACCATCTTCGGGGTGGAATATCTAAATATATGCTCTTAGTATACCTCTACGTAATAAGAGGAATGTACCCTCCCAAATTTCAATGTTTTATGACCAGCGGTTTAGGCTGTGCATTGTCATTCAGTCAGAATGTCAGGACATATAGATTACCAAGTATACTAAGTAAATTTACTCATATAAATGTTTTAAACTTACACGCAGAAGAAGTCTTGGAAAAGATCAATACATCTAGCATTATTTTGACAAGGTCTGTTGATGCAGTTGCCAATATCCCTCTCACATCGTTTACCGGTCCATCCTGGTTGACAAGTACATTTGTAATCTCCAATTTCATCTTTACATGATCCACCGTTGAAGCAAGGTCCTGATGCACAATCATCGATATTAGTTTCACACATTTCTCCTGTGAAACCTTCTCTACAAACGCATTGGTATTTATTGTCCAGATCAATACAACGGTCTGTGCCAATGGGATTGCATGGCTCATTCAAACATTCATCAACAGCCGATTCACACTGTAAGCCTATGAATCCTGGACGGCATTTACAAATAAAACCATCTAATTGATCAAGGCACGAGGCTCCATTTTGACAAGGTTCAGATGCACAATCGTCGATAGTATGTTGACACCGTTTGCCAGTATATCCAGCTTCACAAATACATGTAAAGTCATCAATTCCATCAATACATTGACCACCGTTTTCGCAGGGAGAGATAACACATTCATTAATATTTATATCGCATGACGGTCCCGACCATCCAGGGTCACAAATGCACTGATGGACGAATAGTTTGTCAACGCAAATTCCATGTTTACACGGTTCGTTTGAACAAAGATCAATTTTTTCGTGACACCGTTTTCCAGAAAATCCTGGTGGGCACGCACAACTGAAGTCGTTTACTAAATCCGTACAAGGTGCACCAAGGAGACAAGGTTTTTCAATGCAATCATCAGTATTTATTTCACAGAGTTGACCTTCCCACCCTGGCAAGCATTCGCATTTGAATCTTCCTTGCTGTAGAGCAGTACAAGTAGCTCCATTTGCACATGGATTTCCATTTGCTGTACAAGGATCAACCTATAGAAAAAAAAGGTTTGTTAATGATATTTTATTATAAATACTTGATCTTAAACAATATAATAAGACGTTACTTACAGTTATATCACAATCAACACCAGTGTAGCCTGATCTACATAAGCAAGTGTAGTTATTGTATCCTGGTTCATCTTTGCACATAGCACGTTCGGGGCAAGTGTCATTTCTACATTCAGACCTTTCTTCTTGACAGTTTATACCACCATAACCAGTAGGGCATGAGCATCTATATCCTTGAGGAAGATCAGTACAGGTACCTCCATTATAACAAGGCTGGCTAGCGCATTCGTCGATATCGATTTCACATCTACGTCCCGAAAATCCAGCTGGGCAGTAACATTGTACTCCATGGCCCTTGGGTACACATAGGCCTCCATGTTGACATGCACTATTGGAGCATTCTACGGCAATGCATTCCTCTAACCCTATTGACCCGGTACCAACTGTTTTCATATTAGTCGGGCATTCATTACAAAGTGTTTGACCAGCCAGATTTTGGTAAAAGTTTCGCGGACATTGTGAGCAGGGTGCGAGACCAGTAGGTGAATAAGTACCAGGAGCGCACTTGGCTCTACATCTATCTCTTCCAGGTGCAGCAGGTTGATACGTGAAAGTGTTGACAGGGCAAGCTTGACAGTCTTTGAATCCTCCAATAGGTGGTTCACCAGTGTAACTATTTCGTGGACACTCCAGACAAGGAACTAGACCGGTTGGTGAGAAAGTCCCATAACCACAAACTGGAACACAATCACTTATATCTTTGGAGCCTTCTTCCCTAGTGAATGTTCCCTGTGGACACTTAAGACATGAGCCCTGTCGTGCTTGATTTTGGAAGAATCCGCGTGGACACATGGTGCACGACTTTTGTTTTTCACCAGCAAATGTTCCAGCCGGGCAATGTACTGAAAAGTTAATTTTTATTTTAAGTTACATTTCGGTCATTACAGTTACTAATATACAATATTTAATTACAGAAAAGCATTATCTTTTCTATATACTCACAACATCTAGGAACGTCATTTGTATCCATATTTAGAACTTCTCCAATGCTACAAGTGAAACCTCGACTAATAGAGCTTCTGATAGCTCGCAACGGTGGGCATTGATTTCCGATAGATGAGACGTTTAAAATGGGTTCAATTAAAGCACTGGCATGGGGTACTGATAAATCGAATATAAGATTTAGAGTTGAGCCACATAGATCATATATTTGTGTTTGTCGAATAGCTGGTGTGATTGCAAGAACAAAGTCCATTTTGACAACGTTTTCATCAAGAAGACTTGGCATGGCTTTTACAAATGTAACATTAATGTTGACATTTATTGCTGAACAACGTTGGGATAGCCTTTCGTTTAATATTGTGTCATATTGCACCAGCAAGTCTTTGTATTGTGGCAAACAAGCATTAGAAACCGCACCAAGTGCACGATATTGAACACTGGATACAACGTGATAAGCCGCCTGCTGTGTATCTAAAAGAAAATATTTAAATTTCACGATTAATGTTTTTTAAATTGAATAAATATAAATTTCAATAAATGCAAAGTGTTCTTACTTTCAGACACACAATCGGGTACAACCGCAGTAGGCACCCACTGTCGTTTGGTTTCACAGATAAAATTTTTAACAGGTTCGCCGTCAGTGAATCGGAAGCCTGGACTACATGTTGCTATACATTGGATACCTCTATCGCCAGGAAGACAATTGAGGGCACCATTTGCTGGAGGCATCAATTCCCAATCAACACATGGTGTCGCTTGAACTGATACCTACAGGGAATAAATAACATAAATAACTTATATTATCATTGAATTTACATGTATTAAATGATGCCGTAAATAAGCGGTATATTGATAATAAATAACATAATAAATTTTCATTGAAAAAACAATCAGTATGAAATACATACCTGGAAATTACATTGTGCTTTATTTCCATATTTGTCAGATGCTATTACGGTAACATTTTCATAACCACGTATGGGAATTACTGCTCTTTCAGGAATAAATTTCAAGAAAACTTCTCCTGAGGAATCGGATGCATTTATTCTTCTTCTAGTTTCATTGAAGTTTACCGCATAACTGTCTTGCTTGTCTACTAATTCTATTACGTAACTTTGAGGACAACTCAGTTTAGGTGGTGTGTAGTCTGGCACTGTGATGTTGACTTCGCAGATGGCAACATTGCCATCGAAGTCAAAGGCTACATAACGTACAACCATATTATGGAATACTTGTATTGGTGTTCTGAAATGTTGAGGAGTTACTTCTAGTCTTGCAATGGCACCCGAGTTATCTGTAGCAGTTGGTTCTGTAAAGTTTACAGGTAGAAGACCACCATTTACATCTGTTTGTACTATGATTGGTTGTTGAGGACAGTTCTGGAAGACCGGTGGCTCATTATCTGTAAATTTAAATAAAAGTATCATTAGATAGAAACAAAATTGTTTGATAATATAGTTATTACAAAATTAATAGTATTATAAACTTATTGTAACTTGTTACTCACCGACACAAGGTGAATATCCATAGTCATAACCTAATAGAGGACTAGGTGTAGGTTCATCACAACCCATAAGTTCGAACTTTAGGCACGCATTATCCATGAAACTTACAATTCCCAAAATGACAAATCTAGCTTGAACATATTTAGGTAATGTAATCATTGCTAGTTCTCCATAATTTCCTGGGTCTCTCATTGTTAAGTTGAAATTTGGGTAATATATGACGTAATTTGCCGTTTCATTTGTTTTATAGAATAATCGTATTTCAGTTGGTCTTCCAACGATATCCGAGGTTACAACTCCTTTTACCAAAATCGCCTTGACCCTATGAATTTTGCCGAGATCTACACTTACATAAGTGAATGCTTCTTGTTTTCCACACCATCCTGTGACTGAGTTAAGTCTAATATTTCTTGCTTCATAATTAGGTCTTTCTGATGTGGCATTAATAGCCGAATCAGGAATTCTTCCAGAAGCTAAACCCAAGGGTTTAATTACTTTACACTCAGGTTCTCTAATACATGTTATAGGTCTTGGATTTATTAGAATGTAACCAGGTCTTGAACATCCAAATAAAACTTCAGATCCGTGTTCATAGCTTCTAGCAATTTGATATCCATCTGCAGGCCTTCCGGGGTCCTCGCAAACTGGTCCTTCACATCTGAGGTCTCCGAAGTCCCAAATTCCGTTAGCTTGACATCTTACAATGTTGTCATGTTTGCTAGATTGTCCTGCCATTTTAAAGGTATTTTGGCAACCAAAAAAGAATGAACTCTGATACTTTGTATCTACAAGAGGACTATATACAAATCCTGGTGTTGGCATTGGGATACCACAATCTTTTCTCGGACATTGCGGTTGAGCTCCAGATAACCAGTAATCAGGAAGACCCTATAAGTAAATGATAATCGTGAATTCTTACTACTCAAACAAAAGTTTTTATTGGAGCAATGTTTAATTATTATCGTACAAATAATACTTACAGGTTTAGGATCATAAACACATTGTCTGAATGGTGATGTTAAGGTATTTCTCAATTGTCTGCCTGGAGAAGTACAAGTAATGGTAACATTATCTCTATAAGGCACCAGTACACTTTCTGGATCGTCTCTAATCACTCTTAAGCCTTCGTTTTTATCATCGGATAAAGTAACACACCGAGCATCTAGAAAATTTTAATAAATTAATTAATAACTTAATAGAAAGACATTTTTATTATAAGATTTTGAGATGAAAGTGTAACTATTTACTTACATTGACATTCAGGAGCTGTCCCATTCCAAGTCCCGCTTGAAGTGCACGATAGTGAAGAAAATCCTGACATTACATAGCCAAAATCACATTGAAACTGTACAATGTCACCGAAATGGAAATCTCTTTTTGTGGATAATAGTTTTCCGTTTTCAGGAGCCTGAAGCAGTGGACACATAACTGGTACACAAGATTTATTTCTCTGGTATGTGTCACCATCCCTTTCACCTGTTTCTGATAGCTCAATAGCAAATCCAGCAGTACCATTCGAGGAATATAATTCATAGCCCAGGTTACAGGCACAAGAGAAGTTTCCGGGTCTGTGAAATGAAGAAATTTATGTACAATGAACAAATAATTAGACCAAAAATCATGGTAATAATTTAGTTTTGAAAATATGGTTGATTAAGAAAACAGTATAAAAATTATATAGTTAACCAGGAGTGTAAGAGAAGGGAAGAGGTCCAAGACTAGGCAACCAAAAGGCCACCATGATGACGACGATGATGGTAAAATTATAAAAGCCTGTATAAAATGTAAAGGATAAAAAAAAACCTTACGTATTCAGACATTTCTGTTCACATCCTCCATTATTCTCTGCGCATTCATTAATATCATTACAGTCTAAACGAGCACAACCCATAATTTCCAGTTTAAAGCAAGGAGCACCAACGTAATCTTGAATCTTAAACTTTACATATTGAGCTTCAATCGGAACGGGTAAGTTTAAAACTGACAGAGTTGGCTCCAAAATTCGAAATTCAACGGCAGTACCGTCGGGGTTTGTGTAATCTTTGAATACATCAGTCAAATCATTGGTGTACTGAATTCTAATTGCGGAAGTGAATGCAATATTGCCATCGGCCCGCATAACGCTCATGGTTCGGAAGCCTCTTATAATTGTCGGTGCTCTCAAATCTATGAGAATCCAATTAGCTCCAGCTTCTAAATTGTTTCCACACCATCCTCCTCCATTGTTTAATCGGACCATCTGTCAAGTTAAAATAAGTTACAATTATCATTGTTTGACTTCAATTAAACTGTTATAAAAATAAATATTATAAAAACATACTCCTTTGTAATATCCAGATTCGGAAGCTGAAGTAGTAATAGATTCATCAGGGATTGCACCATTAATGAGTCCTAAGTCACCGACTGGCCTGCAATCCAAACTGGCCGTGAAACCAGGTCTACAGGGACAGAAGAAGCCTCCTTGTGTGTTTTTACATTCGGTGGATACAGAGTCGCACTGACTACTTGTACATTCGTTGATATCATCACAAGTCGGAGCAGCGTCGAATTCTTGGTTTGGTCCACATTTTAATATACTCGGTCCATTTAGCCTAAAGCCTGTAAAATATAATTAACAATTTATTAAATTATTTG